CTCTCTCTCTCTCTCTCTCTCCCTCTCCCTCCCCCCCCCCCTCTCCCCCTCTCTCTCACTGTCTCTGTGTGAGACATCACTACCCGTTCGACATAACTCTCTCTCTCTCTCTCCCCCCCCCTCTCCCTCTGTGTGTGTGTGTGTGTGTGATAGAACCTTCTATTTCTTTTCCCACACGAAGGACATGTCACCAGATCCCTCACCGACACATATTGTCCATTTGATATTATTGAATCTAGCACTATATCGGTGATGTTCCTACTTCCGTCGTATACGACAACACACTTCTTCCTGACATACCTTCGCAACCAGAAAGATGGTCACTTTCTTCGCAATTGAAAACAGAATAAGTTTGCCAACCAGCGGCACTGGCATTTTCTTTGTTCCACCGGAGGCAGATGTCCACGGTTTAGCCCTGCAGCCCCTCACAATGCGAAAACCTGAAAAAGATAACATCGATCAGATCCCACGGCAACCATATGCGTCCACCACCCACCCCCACATTCATGAACACTCGAACGCTCTTTTATCCCCACAGAAAAAGAGCCACATTTGCACACCCACATCCATCATCCATAGCCCTGTTCCTTGAAGCATGTGTGTACACACACACACACACACACACACACACACACATTTCTCAGGGATGGGTATCACTAACTCTGGGCAATGTGGTGAGTCCTTATCCATCACTCAAATGCATCCTGGGCAGACTGTCGGTCCAGGTTCTTCAACCTGCTGATGAGTCCCGAAAGTCCGACCAAACAGTCTGGCACAGTCATGCTTTTCTTGAGTGTATAGCGAATAACACACACACACACACACACACACACAATCAGTTTTATATATGTTGTTCTTCCTTCTGTTGTCTGTCTTTCCCTTGTTTTTTTCTGAAGTTTTTTTTGTGTGCCCAACTGAGCACCCTTAAGTAGTGCCAAACAGTCGGTGGTCCCTCGTTTGGAGCGCCTACTGCACTCTTACGGGGGCCGCTCGGTTCGGGATGTCTGTGTTGCCTGTCGGTGATGCCGGATGTTCGTCGGAGTGACTCCCTGGCTCAGTGGGTGGTGGGAACCAACAGTCTGCGGGGTTCAATCGTGATGTGAGTAGATCGTGTACTGCTTTGCTCCGTGTTGGATTTGTGGACGTCCTCGTCTGCGCTCCGCCGCTGCCTTGCTGCCTGTCCCGCTTGCTTCGCGTGTGGTTCTTTGCGGGTTGATGTGTTCGCTGTGCGGTGTGGCTGTGTTGTTGGTGTTGCCTTGCGCTTCGCTGCTCTGCTGCCGTGCTGTTCATCCGTTGGCCGTGCCTTCCGTGCTTGTGTGCCCTGTAGGTTGGTTGCGTTGTTGCTGGTGCCTTGTGCTCCGCTCCATGGTTGCCCAGCTGCTGGTTCACTCGCCCAGTCGTCCCCTGCAGTGCTGTTGCCTTGTGCTTCACTACACGGCTGCCGCGCTGCGTGCCATGTCGTTCCTTGCAGTCGTTTTTGGCGTTGTGCAGCCGTGTTGCCTCTACTGTGTTGCCTGGTGCTTCACAGGGTTGCTGCCCGCTGCTATGTTCCTCTTGGGGACAGTCTGCCTTCAACAAGGGTCAAAGGGTTCATGACCCAAACCATCAAATACGGGGATTCCGCAGATTGTCGAGGGTTCAGCCTCCTGATGAGTTGGTGCAACTCCGACGAAACAATCTTTCATCTTTTGTCTTTTTTGCCTTGTTTTTTTTGTGCTGTTTGTTCTTTTGCCTGACTTGTTGCCTTGTTGCGCCCGCCTCATTCTTCTGCCTAGTGCTGTTTGTCTGCCCGCCCGCCTCCCCCTTGCCCTCCACCCTTTGTTCTCTGCTGCGGTGTGTCATCCAAGTACCGTGTTGTGTTCTGACCTCAACCTTGCCATTTTGTTTGTCTTGTTGTACTTGTCTTACTGCTGGTCGGTTCGTTTTTCGTTTTATGACTATTGAAAGCTGGGCTTTATAAGCATTCTTTTCTATGGGCATCCCTGGCTGCGGGCTCTTTCCCGGTGTTGTTTATAAGTGCACTCTTCAGCACAACATGCTGTGACGCGGTCGCAGAAGCCACGCAATGCATATAACACACACATACACACACAGACCCTCATCATGGACGTATGGTACGGGAAAGTTAGCTTAGGATTCGTTAGTGATCAGGGAAAGACGCTGGTCAAACGCAAGCCAGGTGTGCATACAAACACATCGAGTCCCTCTGCAGACTGACTGACAGATACAAGTTCTTTTCTTTCTTGTCTCGACGATGCATCTAACGGATTTAACTCCGGCTAACAGACAGTTGCCAACTTACCGTGCTACTTCATGGGTGAAGCATCTAGACTACATCTATCTCTCACATCGTTAAACTCTGCATCTATCGGACAAACCAGTTCCTTCCTCCCTCCCTTCTACTAAATCTACATGCCTTCACTGCCCCACTTCAAGGTCTCAGTTGCCCGGATTCTTTGTCTCTGACCATCAAGGTCCCACTTGCCCGGATCCTCCTTTTTTTTTTTTCTTTTTTTTTTTTGACCCTCCTTTTCTGCCCATCGATCAATTATATTATACATGTATATAAATCGTTAAACAGAACTGCCGACGGTAAACCGTAGGCAGAGAGGGAGGGAGGGAGGGAGAAGAGGACAGCAAACGAGGGGTGGCTGTGACAGACTGTTCCGTCGGAGTTCCATCAACTGACTCGTCAAGAAAGATACGAGGCTGAACCCTCTACAGTCAGTCTGCAGAGTCCCCCGCTAACCCATGGATGAGACCGTAAGTGAGAACCCACCTTAACCCCCGTTGCGGTTAAGCATCAACGACTACCCCTCTGAGGTGGTGGGGACCACTAACCACTGCCCTCAAGGTACCTAGCTTCCGTTTGCTTCCGTTTGCTTCCGTTTGCTTCCGTTTACGAAATCCCCTTGGAGTTCCCTTCATCCTCATAGTTCCGCCCTCGCTCTTGGCGCACTTTATTTCGAGCGTACTCACACACTATAACTTGTCTGGATTTTGACGGCTTTTACGGCCAGGCCTGTATGCATCTGCTCTTAATGACGTCCAGAAGAAAGCCGGAAGTCCTAGTGTACCTATGGCATTACTCCTTTTTTGCTCATCTCCACTTCCCTCCCCTCCTTTTCTCCCTCTTCTCGCCCCTTCCTATTCTTTCCAAACTGCTCTCTTCCACAACAACCGTCTTCCCCTCAGCGTCCTCTCTCATGTAGATGCTGCTACAACTGGTCAAGAGGGGGGGGCCCCTTGGGCGGAACGCGCGCCTTCGAACCACCCCACCATGATTAAATCCCTCGTCAGTGGGACCAACACACCCACGGTTAATCATGGTGGTGGTTGTTAGGTGCAACCCAACAAAATGCGACAAAACTAATTATGGTGGCGGTTGGCTGTAGAGGAATAAATTCACGAGAGAACCAACTCGCACACACACACACACACACACACACACACACACACACACACACAGAGAGAGAGAGAGAGAGAGAGAGAGAGAGAGAGAGAGAGAGAGAGAGAGAGAGAGAGAGAGAGAGGCTACTCGTACTGGTACTTTCCTTTCTGAGAGAGAGAGTATGAGTAGCCTCTACCTCTCTGTCTCTCGCAAGGAAGTTCAAGCGTTAGTGCATATGCTAGATAAATATAGATAGATATATATAGTGAAACAGAGCTGCCCGGTAAACCGTAGGCAGAGAGGGAGAAGGGAGAAGAGGACAACAAACGAGGGGCTGTGGCAAACTGGTTCGTCGGATATATATTGTCACACTGTGAATCAGAGCGCGAAGGCGAAAAAAAAGACAAAACAAGGAAAGGAAAAGAAGGAAGGCAGGAAAGCGCCACCTGTTCATCACCTCTTATATATTGTCACAAAGTTATCAGAGCGCAAAAGCGAAAAAAAACAAAAGGAAACAAAAAAGATATCAATTCATTTTTTATCTTCTCACTTACAACTCCCCCTGTTCAGAACCTCCTCTTGCGTACAAGGCCGCCCACGTGGATGCAAGTTGAGCGGCGGCTGCCCCCACCCCCGTGTGTCACACACACACACACACACACACACACACACACACACACACACACACACACA